GCTTACGCATAAGTGATTCGCAATTCGGTAGAGCTTGCCAAAAGTGTTTTGAGCTTATGTAGTTTAGAATTTGTTCGGTACGGTCGCGAATTTTTTAAATGATTGATACTTGCGGTAAAATAACTAAATTGAAACAAATCTCAATAGTGAAATAAGTAGAATATCTAGGGAGGAAACCAAAATTAATCAACTTGCCAGCATAGCCTATCACATTTATTTTGGTGGCACTCTTTAAGTGATACATAATCAGCTGTTTTTTTTTTCTTTGCGGTTGTCTCGCGTGGCGTTCGTAATTTGCGCGATTTTCATATCTTACGTATCTAGATGTTTAGCTCTAAACGGTTTTACTGACTCGAGGTCGTTCCTTAAGCGGTTTTGGTGCAGGTTTAACCTTTGGCGGCTGTCTGAATCAACGCGCCTACGTCTGCGGAGCTTACGCAGAAGTGATACGCAATTCGATAGAGCTTGTCAAACGCTTTTGAGCTTATGTAGTATAGCACTTGTTCGGTACGGTCGTGAAATCTTGAAATGATTGATACGTTCTTTCAATTAACTTATTTGATTCAAAGCTCAGTAGTAAATAAGTAGAATATCTAGGGAGGAAACCAAAATTAATCAACTTGCCAAGACATGTATTTTGGTGGCAATCTTTAAATGATAATAAGCCTTTTTTCTCGCTTCGGTTGTCTCGCACGGCTTTCGGAATTCGCACGGTTTTCGTAACATACATAATTTAGATATTTCGTTCGAAACGGATTTACTTATTCAATCGGTTTACTACGCGGATGTATCTAAGCGCACACGTCACCGCATTTTTTCCATAACTATCTTGAAACAATACACGACGCATTTCGCGCCAAATCGAATCGAAGCTGGCAGCACCCTCTCAGATTTCAATAAAATTTTCTGAATGTGTAGACTTTGACTAAATAAGCACTTTTGTATACTCAGTTTTTCCAAAATTTATTTAAACTAACATTTGAGAATGGCCAAACTTTTTCTGCCGATTTTTTTCAAAAAAATATTATAAAAAATGACAACTCCAACGAACATATGTTGTATGGATGACTTTTGGGAAATTGTCCAAGTTATCGAAAAAAAATACTGGAAAAAATTTCATTTGAGACCTACACTGAAAAAAAATCGATTTTTAAAATTTAAAGTCGATTTAAAAAAAAATTGCCATGTTTGATTTGGATGAAACTTTGCCTCAAAATAGGTAATTATGGTAACTACCATCCGTCCATACATTGCGAGATGGGCACTTTTAAGGAAAAAAACTTTTTCTTACTTTTTCATGTCTGAACTGATTTTTTTAACGTACCATTTTACACAAAACTAAACCAGTGAAGCTCAAAATTATCTCAGAACCCAATGAAGCTCCATTTTTGATTCAATTTTGTCTAATCAGCAACTAATCACTTGGAATAATCGAGAATTCCATATGAAAAGGGCTTATATGATTAGAAAATAATATAATTGATTATATTGTCTACTACTGAGGCAAAATCCGATACTCCTACAGCAACTTAGAATTCTTAGCTCAAATTATCCATAAAGAATTAGGTATGAATAAAATTTAAATTGAGATCTTCTTTCGAATCAACAACGATTGGGGAAGTCAACGTATCGCATCATAATTCTATATGCCCTTCTGTTATTTATACCTAAACCATTAACATTATATACCTACCACTTCATTCTACCTATGAGTACTATAAAACTAAGGTTGATTTCATACAAGCAGCAGTCAATCTGATAACGAAAGTTGTGAAGACAAGTTGTAGTAAAATTATTATCATGGACCAAAGTAGTAAATTAAGGCTCAAAGGATTGATATGTTGTGCAAATATAAATAATCCGAGATGCAACCGAAATAAGTGACGAGCCATATCGTCAACGATGGTAGAAAAAATACATTATATGGGATATAACCACGAAATTGATGAAATGATGAGCATTTGTGAGTCATGCCGTAGCGTGATATCTCATAATAGAAGTCCAGTTATGAAAAAAACGCCGATCGGTTGGAAATGAAGTAAATATCCAACCGTCAACTAGTCGGCAGCAGCATAGTGATGATCCAGGTCCATCAATGAGTGGTCATCAATCCGTAGATGAGCTAGGTAAGAACAGTCATCCTGATGATTCTATCAACTTTTAACTGCTACCTCCTAATTGCACTTATTAATTATTTTTTCTTCTTCTTTCCTTCAGATACGGTATCATCATCATTGGTATCGGTATCATTGGAGTCAGTTCCATCAGCAGATGATCTGCAACGCCCATACAATGTTGAGAAGTTTAATGGCTTTGTGGAAACGTTGAATTTATCTCCAATTTCATCGAGAAACATGAGGAGCATGGATTATCGTTCAATAAAATCTCTAGAAATTACACAAGCAGTGCGAAAAAATATATTTGGCCTAGATACAGCAGACATTAGCAAAGTAGAGACATACGAAGAAATGATTGTGCAGCTAGAGGAGAAGTTCAATTCCCCTACAGCTGACAGAAAAGATCAGATAACAGTATTATCAGTATTGCCAAAGTCTTGGTCCATGAATAAAGTTGTAGCAGAATTCAACGCACCAACGTACATGGTGAGGCAGGTGAAGAGCCTTGTTAATGAGCATGGTATTCTAAGCACACTCAACAAAAGAAGTGGGCATGGGATCAACGATGATACAAAAAAACTAGTTAGGGAATTTTTTGATGACAATGATATTAGTAGACCTATGCCCGGAACAAAAGATTTTGTTTCCGAGTTTAGAAATGAACGAAAAGAACACGTTCAAAAACGCCTGTTAATGATGTCCCTCAAAGAAGCGTACATGATGTATACATAATGTATGTATTTGTACAATTCATGAAAATGTAAAATTAATGATCAACAGTTTAAGAATTATGTCACAAGATGCAATAATAGAAAAAATGCTTTGTAATATTTCTACTAGAACAACTGATTGCTTTTTCCGTGCTTGCGAAAAGTGTGCTTCCAATGAACATATTGAAGAGGAACTTACTTTGCTATTAGAATCAAATGACAAACAAGATGTTGTGTTTCAACAGTGGCTGAATACTGATCGTTGTAATTTGGAAACGATTATCAAGCCTGTTGATGAATTTGTTCCGTATCTCATTGATAAAATTAACAAACTTATAACTCATTACTTTACTGACTGGCGAAATTCTAGCAATTTGTGATTTTTCTGAAAATTATTCATTCATTATCCAAAACGCTGCTCAAGGATATCACTGGAATAATTCTCAAGCAACAATACATCCATTTGAAGTTTTTTTTTTTATAAGAAAGACAATAAACTTGAAAATGTTAGCTTCATTATCATATCAGAAGTAATGACTCACGATACAGTTGCAGTTCAGTTGTTCATCTCAAAAATGGTAGATTTTATTAAACAATCGATAGATTTTTCTAAAATTACTTTTACGTCAGATGGGGCAGCATCACTATACAAAAATAAAAAAAAGCTTTGCTAGTCTGTTTCAGTCAAAGCATGTCAGTCTCATGGAAAAGGTCCCTGTGATGCCATTGGTGGCACTCTCAAGCAAATGGCAAAGAGAGCTAGTCTTGCTCGAGATTATGGAAACACTATAACAACTCCACGAGAATTATATAACTGGGCAGTTGAACAAACAGATAAAAATATCACAAAACTACGTTTCGAGTACATATCCACTGAACAGTACATCAAAATGTCAGAAGAACTCGAAGAACTATATAACAGCACAAAGACAATATCTGGCAGTCTGGCACACAGAAATTCCACAGTTTTGTGACTATAACTGGTGACAAAGTAGCGGCAAAAAGGTATTCTAATTCAGAAGATGAACCAAAAATATTTAACTTGATTGGAAAAAGGAAAAAATAGCATATATGAAAATAGGTTTAAAACATTGAAAATATATAAATAAATGATATATGAAAAATCTTGTCTTTTTTCTCTCACATATTATCAAATTTTGCATCAGTAGTAGACAACAGAATAAGGGAATGATATTTTTTTAACAAGGTCTACATGTCTAAATAGTTTTATTGAACTCTGAGAGGGTACTGCCAATTCCAAATACGATTTGGCGAGAAATGCATCATGAGCCCTTTTCATATGAAATTATCGATTAATCAAAGTGAACTTAAGTGCTGATTAGACAAAATTGAATCGCAAATTGAGATTCATTGGATTCTGAGATGATTTTGAGCTTCACTGGTTTAGTTTTGTGTGACAATGGCAAAAAAAAAAAAAAAAAAAAACAGTTTAGACATGAAAAAAAATTTGTAAGAAAAACTTTTTTTTCCTTAATAGTGCCTATCTCACGATGTATGGACGGTTGGTAGTAAACATAATTACCTATCTTGAGGCAAAGTTTCATCCAAATCAAACATGGCCATTTTTTTAAATCGACTTTAAATTTTAAAAATCGATTTTTTCAGTGTAGGTCTCAAATGAAATTTTTTCCAGTATTTTTTTTTTCGATAACTTGGACAATTTCCTAAAAGTCATCCATACAACACATTTTTGTAGGAGTTGTCATTTTTCCATAATATTTTTTTTTTTTTGAAAAAATCTGCAGAAACAGTTTGGCCCTTCTCAAATGTTAGTCTAGATAAAGTTTGGAAAAACTAAGTATGCAAAGTGGCATATTTAGTCAAGGTCCACACACCCAGAAAGTTTCATTGAAATCTGAGAGGGTGCTGCCAACTCCGAATACGATTTGACGCGAAATGCGTCACACACGGAATCCACACACGTGATTGAGTAAGTGAGTTGTGAGTTATCATAATATTGAAACAAATTTTCTCGAGCAAAGCCGGGGTAACTCAGCTAGCTTTATACACGGCCGCTGAATCTGACTCATATTTGAGTCCCGTTTATTCAAATTAGAAAACACGTAGTAAAGTTTTTCTCAAATATGTTATAGTGGTCTGTCGCTAGTATGTCTTAAAGAAATAAATCACAAATATCTTTTTTCGATTCTAGGCTTCAGATTTGAGTAAACCAATCGACAAAAAACTGTACAAAGGCACCAATCCAAGTTGTCACGATTTCAACGCAACTGCAGCTACGTGTGAAGGTGCACCACTCCTCGTGGGTTTTAGCACGGGTCAGATTCAATTGGTTTATCCTGGACGAAGAGAACAAGGAAAATTATACAACGAAGAGGTAAAAATATGTCCAAATAATAGGGGCATTCACATATATGTATATCGCTCATAATTGCGTTAAATCAATTACACTTAAAAATACCCTGGTATGTATTTCTAAGATATTATAAATGTTCGGATGTATTATGTAAATATCCCTGATGCGTTTTAACTATGTTTTCGTATCAAAAAAGCGCCGTAGTTTCGCGATTAATAGATTAAATGGCAAACAATTTTAACTGAATAGAAGTTTTATTTTATTGTACTTTAGGACCCTTGCACTATGCTTATATATTGTAAAAACACGATTAAGTTTTACATTAAAAACGTGGGAGGGAAGAAATGTGATATTGATGGGTGGCACAGTGGGATCGTAGAATCCAGTAGATTAATTCAACTTTCGGGTCCGGTCATAATCTTAAGTAATTATGGCAAATTATTGATCGATAATAGCGCAACTCTTCCGACACTATATAACGAGAGTAAAGTTGATTTTCGCTACTTAATTTTTCCAGTTTTCAAATGTAGCGACAATACTATCCGAGTTGTTTTATACAAAGTACACTGGAGTCTGTTTTTATGTTAAAAAACGTTTAAATCCAAAAGAACGGCGTAGAAAGCGACTTCAGTGTACCTTAATTTGTATTTGAAATCCAGTTTAAGAACAACACATGCCATCACAAAAAAAATATCATATTTTAGTTGATTGCGATGTTCAAACCTTTCCAAAATCGCAAAATGATGGCGCTTTTACCTTAACTAACTATAAAAGAAAATTGGAATATAAACTGAACAATTGTTTTTCTTCCACAGAGATTAATTGATAAGACGAAAGTTACCTGTTTGAAATGGATTCCAGGTTCTGAAAACCAATTCCTGGCATCACATAGCAGTGGTTGCTTGTACGCTTATAACGAAGAACTGCCATGTACACCAACTACGCCAAGCTATCAGCCCTATAAGTGTGGTGATGGTTACATTATTCTAGCGTGCAAATCTAAATCTACTCGCAATCCCTTGTATAAATGGTGCTTTGGACAGCAAGAAAATGCCAGCATTAATGAGTTCTGCTTTTCACCTTGTGGTCAACACTTAGCAATTGTGTCCCAGGATGGATTTCTCAGAGTCTTCCAATACAGTAACATGGAGTTAATTGGAATAGCGCGATCATATTTTGGAGGATTTCTGTGCGTATGCTGGAGTCCAGATGGAAAATATGTTGTTGTTGGAGGAGAAGACGATCTTGTAACAGTATATTCCTTACACGAACAACGTGTTGTTGCTAGAGGCCAAGGTCATCGTTCATGGGTATCAGTAGTTGCGTTTGACCCGTATACGACGTCTTATTCAAATTGGAATGGTGGCGATTTCAGCGACGATGAAAACCCGATAAACGATGGTTATGACAACTGCTATGACTACACCAACCATGTTGGTAGTGAATCAATTGCGACTGCTGGGCATCGTCCTCCGGTATGTAGAAATAGTGTATCTACATCGGATAAGCTTGCCACTTGTTATCGTCTGGGTTCAGTGAGCCAGGATACTCAACTATGTTTGTGGGACATTACCGAAGATGTCCTGCGACAATCAATAGGCCGTTTAAGTCGTAATCTGAGCTCAGCGGATCCCACTTCTTATAATACAAAAAGGTATGCTGTGTTCATCTAGTTTGGTATGATCTTTAATGTTTTTTTTTCTTTTCAGTGAATTTTCAAAAAGTGCAAATAATAGTAATAGTGGACAACCCACGGTATCTCACAAGGATTATGCTAAATCAATAGCTAAAGTGGCTTCAACGAACGAAAATGATACTATGGATAACTCAAATTTTACCGTTAAATATTTGACTTTAACTAGTGATAATATAAATACTGCTATAAATTGTGATGATAGTAATAGCAACAATAGCAGTGGAAAATGTTCCACAGCCAGCGTCGAAGGCAAATATTCGAAGAATCATATAACCAAAGGCAACAGTGTTGTTAATTCTGGTGGTACATCTTCAGTCGGATCGTCGAATAAGAAGGACAAAGATAGTGACAAAACATTGAAGTTTGAAACAAATCATCAGCATAATCATTCAACATTTAATTCAATAACTCAGCGGTTTTCAAATATGGGATTCGGAAACGCTGGTAACAATTGTAGCAATAACAGTGAAAAGTGTGAAAAAGTAGGCAAAAGCAGCAAAAGAAGCATCATATCGCTTGCAGGCAAATCAAACAACAGCAATAACATTCACAGTAGTTCAAATAACAATAATTTCCAACATTCTAACGCTCCGAGTATCAACCATCAAGTCAACCTTGTTGATCAACCTATTTCAACATCATCGTCAAGCAGTGGAGGTGGTGCTAGTATTTCCAACACAATAACCTCAATTATGACATCATCGCTAACGAAAAATAAACGCAATGATGCTAACGGAACAGGCGGCAGTGTTACTAGCATTATCTCATCTTATGATCCAATGAAATTGATAGGAACTCCTGCGTGCCCACGATTCGATGATTGTCCAGTATTAGAACCGTTGGTGTGTAAAAAGATAGCACACGAGCGATTAACGGCATTAATATTTCGGGAAGATTGCTTTCTCACAGCGTGCCAGGATGGATTTGTGTACACATGGGCAAGGCCTGGTTACATAGTGAGTATTAAACCATCATAATATACTGTGTCGTACCCGTTCACCGCTCATTTCTTTTCAAAATTTGTTGAAAAAGTTCCAAAAATGAGTTCTAAAAATGTGTATAATAACCGACTAATTCATGTTTAACATGCCTGCTGATCATATTTAACCATCTACATTGTTATTGTTTAAAAAAAAATGTTTGTTTCAATTATATGAGCGATGAATAGAGATCCAACAATCACCGCTCACTCCAAAAATAAAATTAAAATATGCATTACGACGAACGAAAGCGAAATCAAAATCTACTTTCCCAATATGTATATTTTTCAAACCATATGATGCTCAATAACGCCATCAAATGAACAGAAAATGACAGAAAAGATATAAATTTAATAAAAAATATATATTTCCACTAATTTTAAGAACATTCAAGCTTGCGCAATTATATTAACGATGCGAACTTAATGTTGAGCGATGAACGGACACCACAAGGTTTCCATATTTGCCTATAGTTGGAAGAATACATGGTCTCTGCAGATCCTATTTGTTTAAAACCTTTTCTTTCCCAGAAGGTTGTTTTTGTCGTTGTAATAGTGTTTCTGAAAAAAAAGGTGCTAGAACCAAAGAAGTCCCATAATCTAAAATTTTCGGATACAATGGTTATAATTGTTTTTTTTTTTTCAATAGTTCCTTAGTTGAGATCTCAAAAATACATAGGACAAGAATAATGAGCATACGGAGAAAAAAAAGTTGAATGTTTGATAATCATCATGGGAAGAAGAGGGTTAAACCAGGATTTAAATATCATTGTGTCATTTGATTATTTTTCAGTGGCTTTTGTGCACTAGCGCAAACAACTGTATTAAATATAACTAACCACTTCCACTAAAAGATATGCTATCGGCAATATTATAAATTAAGACACAATTTTTCCCGACTCTATCGGCACCAGTGACACAAAAGATGACTAGAACACTGTAAATTGAGCGCTTAGCAGTACATCTCAATTTCAACAAGGTTATCAAAAACAACTCACAGTTGAGTAAAATTATAGTATTGTGAAAAATTACCTGTTTTAAATTATATTAAAATTTTGAATCAAACTGGAGGTTATGGCAAAACAATATGATATGTAATAGAAAAATAAAAAACCCGAATTTATCCACCTATGGTGTGATCAGACCCTTCTTACTTATTCAAGTTTATTTATTTTATTGTCATTATCAGTGACGAAGCCCCCCACCCCCGTGTCATCCAGTGACGCTACGCCACTGCCTGGGGGTACCCGGAATATATCCGGGTGTAGTCTATTTGGTGAGGCTACCAATCACCTTATCATCGTATTTTAATGTGATTTAATGGGTTTTAATTCAATTCATATTCAAGCAACTTCCCCGGGGTACCCGGAACATGTCCAAGTGTGTCCAATGTGGTCTGGAACACTTAACACGACTTGCATTGATCTTATTTTTGAATTCTGTAGTAATTTGATGTGTCGCATGATGGTTTTGATACGTTTTCCTTTAAATCCAGCGTGAAGGCCCATATTCACCGGATCCTATTCCGGCCATATCTCCGGAACCGGTTCACCGATTCCAAAACCGTTCAATAGCGTTCAATGGGACCCCAAGCCTATCATTTAGCGCCGAGTTTGTCCAAATCGGTTGAGCGGTTGCTGAGAAACGTGAGCGCATTCATTTCGTTACATACACACACACATACACACATACACACATACACACATACACACATACACACACACACACACACACACACACACACACACACACACACACACACACACACACACACACACACACACACACACACAGACATGTTCCGATCTCGTCGAGCTGAGTCGAATGGTACATGACACTCGGCCCTCCGGGCCTCGGATCGATAGTCGGTTTTTCAAGTGATATCTATACCCTTCTTTGTAAGAAGGGTAAAAAGTTTAATCTAATACGAATAATATTTAATCTGAGATCCTTGTTTTAAGTTGAGAGCTACAACACTACACAAGCGTTAAAAGCCCACACCCTATTTGAAAACGAATCAAAATTGGGTAGAGTCACCCAGTTCGGTCAAAACTGAACCTATTCAAAAATGGGAAAACATGCATTTACCCAGATCTGGGTAAACATACTTTTGACAGATATGAAATGCCGACTCCCACTGCAGAAGAAGAAGTTGTTCCTCTTCGTCACCGAAGGATATAGTGTTTTCCAAATCCGGCAGTGACTGAAAAATATATGTAACATTAATTCTCTACCCAATCTCTACAGTATTTCGTATTTACGACCACTGTTTACGTTTGCTTTTTCACATGTTGTTGAAGAACGTTCTGGTAAACTAAAATGTGAACAGTAAGAAAAAAGTACCCAAAATGGAGTTCACTTTCACTCAACATGTGACTTCCGTGGGGCTAAGTAAAATTAAGTTAATGAAGAAAACTAAATTTTGAGTAATCTTGATCAATAATCCATTGAGTGAAAATTACCTAACGATCAATCGAATGCAATAATGGAGCACGAACGAAGGCGATAGAGCACACAAAAAGGACAGCATCGACGGCAGCGCAGGTTGCTTTCATCGGAAAATAAGTTAAAAGTGCCCTACGGGGAAAACATGACGGTTGAGTGCTTTTGACTGAAAATTTAATTCTTTTCTACTTTGAATCGCAGCGTCTTTTGTTAAAAGAAATATATTGATATATTCTTCGTTAGTTCTTTTATGCAATACAATTTATAAAAATGTAACTTTCAAATTACCGTACTTAACAATGATTAACAGAAAATGAACTTTAATTTGAGTTCATCTGAGTTGAAACGGTGGAAACTAAGATTTTAAATTGGCTCACACTGGACTAGCCTATCGGTCCCAGTACATTGATGAACGTAACCCATTCTAATCGCAATTCTAGTACCACAATATTTTTGTTATGATTCGCTATGAAAGTTTGACAGATAATAACGTTGATTTTCCTATGTTTCGAAGGGTGCATCGGTTAGCTTGGGATCGAAGAGAGTACTAGCATCTTGGAAAATGATTAGGTTAGATGAGGTCTAATAATTTTTCTTGTGTAATTGATGTTTACAGCATATCTGAGATATGATATAAACATCAATACGGCCAGGCCTACTGCTTTGTATTTGCCGCAAAGATGATTTTTGGAAATTAATGGAAACATTTCTTGAATCTACAGGGGTAGAAGGATGCGTGGACATACCGTACCAAACGCTTCGAGTTACTATGTGTAGTTGTGTGTAATGTGTAAATATTTGTAATGTGTAAACAATATCGAGCTGGAACCGCAAGTAAGCAAATCAATTGCCTCCTCGTTCGAATCCTTCGTTGTGAGTGGTTCCGATAGATACGCGCCCATTTTGGCTTGCAGGCAGCAGCAGAAGATTTGCTCGTTCGATTTTAACCTACTTCCACTGGATATCACCGTTACCTCCTGGACTTATTTTGTAACTTCCGGCTTCCGGATCGTTATGCACTTGTAACTAAACCCAAACGGACACGATTCAACAGCGTACATTAGAAAATTCAGCGGAGATCTCCTTTTTCGCAACGTTTCACGGCGGCGGCGAAGGAAGAAAAAAACCCGGTTTGTTCACTCGCGGTAATCTTAAAAACTCTTTCGATCCTATTTTTTTTTTCAAACAACCAAATACAGCACTAATAAATTATTGAAAAAGTTTTTAAGTGTCCAAAATGCACCAGCTAAAGGACTTATTCGGATCGAAGAGAGTACCAGAGCTGAGCCAAAAAGTAAAAACATGGAGATAACTCTAAGACCAGAAGATCCCGAAAAAACGTGCTCAACTTTTTGGCTCAGCTCTGGTACTCTCTTCGGAACCAATCTAGTCGAAGCACCCCTCGAAACATAGGAAAATCCATGAACCCCTCATTTCTTCTGAAACTTTCATAGCTAATCAAAACAAACTGAGTGTGTAGTGTACTACACACTCAGCTACGTTTTCCTTGTTAGAAATTTTAACGAATGTACGGTAATGTGATTATTAAATCAACGAACTATGTAAAACCAATTACAGAAAAAAAAACTGTAAAATGAAGCAAACGCCGAAGTCGATAAAATAAATACCGAACATACAGCAAATTACAAACTCGTTTACCGCACTCCTGTAAATGACGTCAAGCCGTCAAATCAAGATGCAAGCCACGTTCAACTGTAACTGCGACTGTAGTTCAATTTCAACTGTAAAGGTGAGTAGTGGACAGAGATCATAAAATTCCGGTGAAACTAGGGCAGGTATACCGTGAAGGCACCATATTTGACGCGGTTCCTAATTTGACGCACTCGATCATTTTCGACTATTTTCAATTAATATTTTTTAAATGTTAACAGATTTGAATTTTTCAGGTATAATCCTAAATAGGACCTAGATTATTTTAACTCTAGTAACCTCAAGTCCGTGCTCTGTTGTTGCTGCTAGGGTGGGGTACCTAGGGGGCTACCAGGACAAACACATTATACAACAACCTCTTTTAATGGCTAGCAGAGCTGGAGAACTATTTCTGAGTCTCAAGGTCGGCTGGTGTACTTTACTCGGCAAATCAGACCTCGAATAAGGTGTAGTAAACAGAAGCTGGTGAAATACAATTTTACCATTTATTTCCCTAATTTAACATGGTGTGTGTGTGTGGGGGGGGGGGGGGTGTAATACCTGACCGGCCGGTGGCTGCTGGAATTTACTGGGGTGATGGTGCTGGTGGTGGTGGTCTCGATGACGGTGGCTAACTTAATGGCGGGAAACAGTGAGGCTGATGACGACTCGGTGAAAGCGTCTGGCGACGCCGGTCGGTTAGCACAATGGCGGACTCTGGCGAACAAATGTTGGCTATGCTGAGAGTCTGTGGTTCCAGGCTTGGAGATGGCAGACTTAGATTTCACGGGTGTGTGGAGACCTGCTCGGTACCATTTGGGGTGGAACCCAAATCCTAATCTTACTGAGTCCAACCTTGGTATCATCGAGAGGCCAGTTCTC